GACTGATGGACTATGAGAAGGAACCTTAAAATGTGACTTTTTGTACAACCAAATGGTCTTTTGATGTTTATAACTGTCCCCCGGTGACCTCTTTCAACTGGCTCAGCTTAAATGGGATGCGGTTAAAGCCGGTTTATTGGCATTGGGAGCAGCACTAATGAATTAAACCATAACTTAGGAATCGAGCCATTGACTTGACATGTTTACTGCTGCCATTCGTCATAGCTTTGCTAATCACTAATGCATAACAAGTGGAGGCATCACCTGTGACGTTTGAGATGGGCCTTTTAAAACATTTATGAATGGTATCTATTTTACACTGTGATTTGTTTGGGACCAAAAGGCAGCAATGTATCTTGTATTTATACAAACAAGCAATTGTAATTTATGCTGAATATGTGTTGGTGTAATGAAATAATCATAAAAACTCATTTTATGCCATTCACGTGAAGGTCGTAGCTCCCATCTGTCAACTCTGGCATGTGTTTTTGTAATTTCAGCTCATCGTATTAATCTTCTGGAAACTGATTGGAGAATATGGTGATTTTTTTTCTACTACTTTCATCTTTTTCTGCACAATGGGACACTGTCAGTGTGGAAAAATGGCCAAATGTTGTATAATAAAATGTTTGCTTACATTAATTATGAATTTATAGAGCCCAAGCTTACAATTTATTTAATCCCGGAATGATCTTATTGAGTGTATTTGAAAATGTAGACTGCTGATTTTCAGGCTGTATTTCAAAATATCATAATTCCTAGCTTAAAAAAATACTTGATTCAAAGAAAAGGGGAAAAATGCCCATTGACAGCCTGTGAGTGGGCTGAGGAAGAAACTGATTTCATCTGAAGGGCATTTAGCTTTTCTGTCAAAGTGAAGCTATTAATCAGCCGATTGAATTGTACCGGAAGTGATCATAAAACACCTGGACAGGCAGCACAGAGCTTTCAGCTTGACATGAAATCAGCCAGAAGAACCTTCAACAGCCTCTCAGAGCAAGGGCGTCATGCACTTATTATT